GTTCGGGAGTATGGCGTTATTGATTGTACACTTCACACCGTATTGTTTATAATTGAGAATGTTACGACATGATTGAGTATTAGATTGCATCATGGTATATCAATATGTATATTACTTGCATATAATTATTGGGAATGCTTTCAAGTGCAAAGGTGAACTCAGGACACCCAGGTAAGTTCAGGTGAGTTTATGGTACTACTTGAATCGATTGCGTTATAGCATGACTACAGTTATGTGTTAGGCAACTTCGATACTGTCATATTGGTTGCCATGAGTTCCACATGTTATATTGAGATGCATTGAGAGCTCATAAACCTGCACCTCGGTGTTAGTGCTCCCGCCCGTGGCCAGGGCACAGTCCTTCACGTGATGTTCACCTCCCGCACCTTACGCTCACCTTGGATTCAAGGTAGGTGCACAGTCCTGTCGTACAGACCACTTTAGGTGGTTCCGACTCGTAGGTGACCCGCGATTATTCGCCCAGTCTTCATGTGATCGTAGCACTTGAGTGTATTTATTTACACCCAGTCCTGTCGTACAAACCACTTTAGGTGGTTCCGACTCGTGTGCAGGTATACTTATTGAGCTATTGGCTAGCCAGGATTGATGAGATATGGATAAGTCGTACAAGTCACTATAGGTGACTCCGACTTATATGCTAGCAATGATTGATGAGATATGGATAAGTCGTACATGTCACTATAGGTGACTCCAACTTATATGCTAGCAATGATTGATGAGATATGGATAAGTCGTACAGGTCACTATGGGTGACTCCGACTTATATGTTAGCCATGATTGATGAGATATGGATAAGTCGTACATGTCACTATAGGTGACTTATATGCTAGCCATAATTGATGAGATATGGATAAGTCGTACAGGTCACTATAGGTGACTCCGACTTATATGCTAGCCAGGATTGATGAGATATGGATAAGTCGTACAGGTCACTATAGGTGACTCCGACTTATATGCTAGCCATGATTGATGAGATATGGATAAGTTGTACATGTCATTTTAGATGACTCTGACTGATATATCACTTTGTATTGATTTAGTTCATTTGGCTTACTTATTAATGTATGGTGGAGTTGATGGCAAACCGTGGTTTTGGTCATTTCTGAGTATGGTTGGATATATGTATATATGTTGTACTGTCTTATGGAAAACGATACGGGTTTTACATTTAGGGGCATTACTTTTAGAGAGGTAATAACTTTGGGAAGCTTGGTTTTATTGCTTACTCACACCTTCTGTTTGGTGCCCTCCAGGTTTTAGCTACTGAGTTTGTATCGACAAGAATCTGTGGCGAATCTTAGTATTGATGGATATTTCTGAGGGTATTATTCTTACCCACACTACTGTACCTTACCTATGCTCTGACATTGCGTGTGAAATGAGTTCGATCCCACTCGTAGCGCACTCTGGTACTTAGACACTTTTAGATTTAAATTTATTCACTTTTTATACACTATCACATTTTATGGCTTTGTCACCTTCCAGGTGTCGGCCAACACAGCTCGATTCAGGGTCCAAGTAGACTTTCTGGGTCGAGGTGTGTCAATTAATCCCCCCTCCCCCCGGGGCAACGCCGAAACCTATCCCTTTCATCATCATCCCCATTTGTTGTCCTTCCCTGCAACCTAAATCCAAAACCACTCCCACCCATCCTCCACATCCTCCTCCGCACCTATCCTCTGTGCACCCATCTTCCCATCCCCAGCAACCTGAGCCCAATCCGCAACCCAGGAAAAGGAAAAAAAAACAAAAAAAAACCACCCCCTTCTTCTCCCCCCCCGTCTTCCCCAAACCCATTGTGCACCCATCCTCCACGTCCTCCTCCGCACCCACTACCTGCAACCCAGAAAAGAAAAGAAAAAAAAAAAAACCCATATCCTTTCCCTGCAACCCAGATCCTCCCAATAGGTGTGGATTTAAGGAGCGTGATGTGTAGAAGAGGGTGGGTTTCTGGGTGAGGTGGGTCATGGAGGAAGGTGGGTTTGAGTGGGTCGTTTGTGAGCCGGGGGGGGGGGGGGTCGCGGAAGGAATAATGGGCGAGGTTGGTGATGGGGGATTAATGGGTTTTGGTTTTGGGGGGAAGGAATAATGGGCGGGGGGTGGGTTGTGGCTTTTGAAATTTTTTTTTTTTTTTTTTAAAATTTTAATATATTTTTTGCCATGTGTAATACATTTGGCAGCCACATCAGCACTTAACGGATCAATTGATGGAAAATGTAACAAATGTATTATTTTGAAATAAAATAGTACTTAAGGTATGAAAGTGAAATGTTTTGAAGATGTTGTAAGGAATTGAAATAGACCCCAAACCTGAGGTATGAAAGTGTAATTTACCCATAATAAAAACATAGAGGGAGGGTGGGGTTGCCAAGCCAGACTGTGCGAGGTAGTAGGGCAGGCGAAAGATGGTAGCTCCTTGCTCGCTGGGATATTTTCTTTAAAAAGGAAAAATAAAATATGAAAACTAAGTAGTGGTATGGTAGAAAATGTGGGCAACGTTCAAGTTGATTCTAAGTTACGGTGTGCTGCTTCTCAATTGGCCGTGGCAGCAGAGGAAGTTTGGTTGAGTGTTCAGCTATGGCTAATGGGCTAACCGGCTCCACCACAAAGGTTAACTCAAATTTTTTTTTACATGGAGGTATATTCATACTACCCTATCATCACGATGACTATTTATCCAATTAGGCCTATAGTAAAATCCATGGAACTCATCATTCACTAAATTCAAGCCTAAAAACGTTTACTTGCAAGTGAAAACCATAGTACTAGTGACATGAAAGTGTGACCATGTTGTTGCAGAATAGAATCTCACATCGAGCATATGACAAAACAATATCCAACTATACATGTGAGTTTTCTATTCTAATATCATTGAGGCATTTTATAATAAAACTCAACATCTAATTATAAGGCGATCTCCAACCTAAGGGTCTAGAGGGCCGAAAATAGCCTGAAAACAATCTCCAACCAAGGGTTAAGCCAGAGGGCTCGTGGGCCCCACATAATCTGCAAGGGCTAAAGGGCTGGCTGCATGGGCTAAAGGGCTCGTTGCATGCAGCCAGCCAACCAACCCGGGGCTAGGCCAAAATTCCAGCAATCCTGTCGGATATAACTGATAGGAATGATTAAAAAAAAATTTGAATCCAACGGCTAGCTGACGTCAGCTAGCCATTAATTTTTATTTTTATTTTTTTTTACAATTTTATTTACAAAAATTTTTCTATAACTTATATTTTTAAATTCTGTTTTTTTTCTTTCTATAACTTCCTATAACTTCTATTTTACAAAATTTGTTTCATATATATTTTTTTAAATTCTATTTTTTCCCTATAACTTCTATTTTACAAAATTTGTTTCATATTTTTTTTTCAAATTCTATTTTTTTCCTATAACTTCTATCTTACACAATTTGTTTCATATATTTTTTTTAAATTCTATTCCTATAACTTCCTAAGCCATTATACAACATTAAATTAACTTAAGTAACATGAAACAACATTAAATAACATTAACCAACATAAAAATTATACAGCATAAAAAAAACATTTAACAACATGAAACTTAAACAACATTTTTAAAAACATTTAACAACATAAAACTTAAACACCTACTCTATGCTTCTTTTGGCCCAAAGAAGTGCAACAAGATCCTGTTATTGGTACTTATTTGTGGCACAAGAATGTATCATTCTATAGCGCCTCATGTACTCATTTATAGAGATACTACCAGTTCATGGATTGAAAGGCAAATTAGGCCCATCATATATTTTTGCACGAACCCTTCTTGACCTATTTGGATCTTCTTGGTTATCATCGAACTCTCCATCAATATACCCATCTCGCTCATCCTCCACTATCATATTGTGTAATATGATGCAAGACATCATGATGGAGTCTAAATTTTCTCGACTCCACCCTCTTGCTGATTCGCTGATGATCTTCCATTGTGCTTGTAGAGTACCGAAAGTTCTCTCAACATCTTTCTGGTATGCCTCTTGTAGTTTTTAAATAATAAATTATGTTTGGCCCTCAGTTGGAGATGATTTTTTGTGATAGGGCTAAAACGAGCTCTATGACCCTTTGGCCCTCGGTTGGAGATGAAGGCAAATATGACCATGTACTGTTCATTAAAATATTATTATCTTGGAGGGCCAAAGGCCTAAAACGAGTCCTCTTACCAACCCTCGGTTGGAGATAACCTAAGAAGTACTTACTTATTAGGTGGTGCATCATGTTAGGCTTATAAGGTTTAAGTACGTTTCTGTTCAAGCTAAGGGTCTAGTCTAGTTGGGTTTACAAACCTTAAAAAAATTTAAACAAGGGTTAATTACCCAAATGTAGTATTCAATCTGCGACTCCATGCGGTAGCTTCTACATTATAGTGTTCCTCTTAGCGTATTTTCCGATGTTGAGACTCTAGGCTACCACGAACTTTTTCATTCAACGAGATAGTGCTTTTTCAACTCTCGCAAAATGGAATATATTCCAAACATATATGCCATGGTTCCTTATGTTGACATGATACAAATATCTAAATTTGATATTTTTAGATACTTTTTCAGACCTATTGCCTCCAAATAGAACATTACTAAGAAATGCACTACAAAACATTAGATCGAGATCAAGGGACTTAAGAAATACACAAAAAAACAGTAGGTCGGGATCGAGGGACTTGAAGTGTGCGTTAGGATGATGAACTTTGGCTAAATGTGTTGGTAATGCACGGTAAAAGTGAGAGGGAGAGACTTGTAGTCCATCAGTAGTGTCATTTTAATGCATTTTTAACTATCAAGGTATTTTTGCCCAGTCCAGGGTAGTTGACTGTACCAAACACTAGACAAGAAGAGTCCCATCTTGTCCACTTCAATCCTCGCCTATTCCAAATACAAAGTCCAAACCGATCCCGGCCACCAAACGAGGCCCAAAGTATTCTCCGTCTCTCATTTCAAACATGCTAATATGAAATCTGAACACAACGAGGAAACGAACTGCACTTTTCATTCAAGCACTTATTCCACCATTCATTTCCACCTTCTTATGACCATTTTGCATGTGCACATTTTAACACGCTATTATTCTATGACACAAAATAAATAAAGAAAACCCGAAAAACACACGCCACCATATAGTTTTAGTCCATTTGAAAGGAAAAACGACTCACTTGACAGAGTATGACTCTGGAAACCAGATGCGTCAAACACCTTGTGAAACGGAAAACCCAGATTTCGGCTACGCTGTGCTGCTGCTTGTACTTCTAATTCCACCGAAACCTGCTACAAGTCGGTCGAACGCTCAACTTAACTCATCCTCTGCCTATACTGTTATGGGCCAGACTTAATCAAACCCTGTATGCTGTAAGTAATGGTGAGTTCCTCCATTCAGAGAGTTGGGGGTAAGTTAAACATAGCTACAAATTTCTTAAGGTCCCCAGGTTGTATGTTTTGGGACATGACCGCAGCACCCACAGCGAGGGCAACAGAAACAAGTACCATGCTCTTCATGCATACATGGCCTTGCGACAATCGTCCCAAAATCTGTTTGCAGTATTTGTCTGCATCCTTCAACAGTGAATGGCGGGCAGCATCAGCTCCCCCCGCTGCCAATGCTTTATCATTCTACATCCAAAACAGAAAACAAGTTCATAAGAACAGGTTCAGGATAACACTACTTAATATAAGGCAAATGGAATCATAAGACTGGGTTCATCACTTCAAATTATTGTTTTCCACGCACCTCATGAACTTTATAAAGAAAGAAGTATAAAAAAATTATACTCTCATAGTGGTCTTGGCAGACTTGTCATTTAGATAGCTGAATATAATTACCTTCTCCCTGAAACTCTTTAAAGTTTCCCTCAAGGGGTCAAGAGAAGCATGTTTAACAGATTGCTCCTTCCACTCGTCAGATAGCTTTTTCAGGAGAACAACACTTGCGTCGAGATTGTCCAGATAAAGTATGTCCTGTTCCAGTATTCATACAGCAAATTGATGATTTATAAATCTTCGTACAATGCCTTCAAGAAAAATATGAAGTAAGAGAACAATGATCACAATTCATACCCATTGCCTGTAACATTCAGGGTTTTGCGTCAAACACCAAATAAATAAGCCGCTTGCTTCCTTAGACAGATCAGGTATGCCTGCAAAGTGCTCTATGCATCAAGCTCCGAAAGAGAAAATGCCAAATTCATACTCTTTTCACTTGGAAAGACAATTTCAAAGGGGAAATACTTGTAAACAGAAATAAGTTTTTTTGTTCTTTGCTTACCCTCATTAACAGCTTTAACTGAATTCTTTAATATCTGCTGTGTGACTTGCTTCATTGTTTTGCTTCTGGGGGAACCAGCAAGGGCGATCTCCTTCAAAGTTGGATAAACAGCTTCAAACCTCTCAGTTGCCTTAGCAAAACCAAAATGTTCCACATATTATTTCTTTGGCTGAGGGGGGTAAGACGGGTTGGGGGTCCTGCTTGATTAGCATGTTTAAAAGGAAAATTTTGCAATCATGCAAAGGCTTCTTAAAGAGGCCCACCTTAACTCGGGCAGAAGGTGTCGGAAAAGAGACTCTCATCAAGAGATCAAGGGCTGATGGTGGCACTATGTGCTCCCCCTTTCTGACAGCACCATTTAATAGAATAGGACGGGCTTTCGGAGAAGACAAAATTCTGACATCATACGAAAAAGGAACAGAATTAGTCATGGTAGATGGGTCTATGTAACAGGGAAGCCAGACATGCGGACATGTGCAAGATGAAGAAGGTCGAACTCATGATAATCTAAATGGCGTCATACCTTTCCACAGACTGCAAAATTAAGTCTCTACACAGTGGATTACTACTTGACTTGCTACTCAATATAGGCAAGAGAAATTGTACCCATGAGTACAACCCAACAACCAGATCTCCTTGAGAAGCCTGCATAATAAATGTTTTCCCTAGTAAAAAATCCATATTTTAGAAAAGAATGAACCATGGTCTTAAGAAGTTTAAATACAATGCCTCACCTGTGCAACCAACCAAACTGTGATTGGAAGCTTATCTTGGCCTTCATATTTCGGACTTCCCCTCATCACAGGAACTAAACTAATCAGTACTTCAGGTCTTCGTCGCAATACCATTGCTAAAACCACAAATATGGCAACCTGCAGCTCCAAGGTTACATCAAATAACTCACTTGGTTTAAGTACATAATCTAAACTGTTATGGTAAAGAGAATGCTGACCAATTTAATGGAAGGAAAAAAACAAAAGGCAAGGATGTGGAAAGGCTTGTTACTTTAGAAGTTATTTAACTGTTTCGTACATAACTCAGTAATCAATAGTTTTGGACTGGAACCCCCAAATTCCGATGCTATTTTAAAACACTGTTGTCTTACTATTGCTGTTTAAAGCTTAGGGTAGCCAAATCCAATATCACATAAAACAATTTCAACACTGAAAGATGAGCCAGCCTTCAAACATTTTAGAGCAAAGAAAGAATCACATCAAATGCATAACTGTTAAAGACGCAAAATTCTTTCCCAAAAGGCAAAGCATAAGCTATCTCCAAGGGTAATGAACTGCCAAATGATTAAAAAAATCAACATCTCAAGCATCTCCCGGATGGTATACTAGGAAAACATGCTGCCAATCTTGGCATCAGATCACGTATGCAACAAAGTTGAATGAGCCATGGAACTGCTATTATATGATATCTAAAGGTTCATTAATAATAGCATACAGAAGCATCCTCTATAATGCAGCCACTGAAGAAGGAACATATTTGAAAAGGAAGGAAAAAAAATGAAGAAAGCAAAGATAAACAATAATTACGGATAGTAGTAGCGAATGCAAATAAAATCATTTTAAGAAACAAGGGGTTATAAAGAGCGAAAACACCACACCATACAATTACATAAAATTCTACAAGATATTTACTTGACATAATATTCCGGTGCAGTTTTACAAATGTAGATGCAGTATATCTCTCAAATATACGGATTGAAAAATTTAGAGTAAATCTGGTCCTATAGTTCTCAAGGCAAAAGCATGGCCAAAACACTGTTTTTGCTCATATTATTACTCCAATTTCGGAAGAAGATGCAGCATTAGTAGTTAGATAATCTACCTTCTACAATTTGTCACAGATAATGGAATGCACAAAAGAGTTCAGCACTACGTGACACTTTAAATGGGGAATCTGATACATGCAACAACTGAAATTTACCTGAGACTTTGAAGGTGCTTGCTGAACCGCTTTTTTGGATCCCTTGGCTACTCCTTGATGAGTTGCAAGGTCAGCAAGAATGCTGTCCAACGACCATAGCACAAACGATCCAAGCGCTTCAGTAGAGCGCTGGCCGATCCATTCAACTGATATCTTGTAAACATCATCAGATACATGTGAAAGGGGGATCTGCTTTGACAATTAACATAATCATATGATATTAGGAGACCCGTTGAAACATATATATAGATTTCACAACTTGAAAACACAAATAAAGGGGTTTAAAATCAGCATAGTATGATTCGAAACAATCACATTCTATCGAAAACCCGCATGCATGTACAATTAAATACACCGGATAAGCAGATAAACACGATGAAATGATCCAAAGCTCTTTTCTTTTCCCACAATTCCTAAAGAGTTTGATGCTTTTTTTTCTTCTTTTCATTTTGTTTGATAAAAAGATTCAAAGCTGAATGCAGAAATACGTGTAAGAAAAAACTCACATCAACCAGCTTTGCCACAGAGGATTCCTTGAACGTCTTCAACCACGGAAATTGAGCCGGACTGACCGCCGCAAATGCTCGACCGAAATAATCCGCCAAGCGCATAAGCTGTATGTCCTGCTGCGTCTCATTATACGAAGCCTATCCAACCCAACACCCATAACCAAACATCAGAAAAAAGAATTGAATCCCAAATTTACAGAATTTGACAACAAACAGAAGCGATTAGCATCTCTCACAGTTATATCAGCCAGAAAGGCGCCGAGATCACCGGCGTCCATCTTCGACGCCGCCTCCGCCACCGTCACCTTCGGCTTCTTCGGCTTCTTCTGCTTCACCTTCTTCACCTCGCCGTTTTCGACGGCCGCCCCGGCCACCTCACCATCGCTATCACCCTCATCGTCGTCATCGGAAGTCCGCTTCGATGCGCTGGGTGTGGCATCTCCGGAAACGGCTGCGGCCTGGGCCTCGAGAACTCTCCGACGGCGCTCCTCGGAATGCAGCTCGATCGGCCGGAACACGTCGGAGGCGGAGGATACAACACCGTTGTGAAGATCGGCGTTGGAGTCCGCCAGAAGCGCCTTGGAGGAGGATTTCCGGGTTCGCTTCGAATACGAAACCGTCTGCCACGCATAAGCGTCACCGTTTTGGGTGAGCTTCCTGCCATATTTCTGTGCCTCCTCCTCCTCTTGCTCTCTGAGAATTGCTTCGATCAGTGCCGATGAACTTTCGTCCATGCTAGCTTCTCTTTCTCCGTCTCTCTCTCTCTCTCTCTAGATTTCTGGTTCTTCTTGACTGAGAGAGAGTTAAGAAGTAACGTCGACATGAGAAGGGGGGCCTCTGAAGGAGAGAGACGAGAAAGGGACTCTGCGTCAAAGGACACGTGGGTTACTCAGATTGATTGTGATGACGGATTTGTCCTTATTTCACTCGCCATTTAACGTGAATGCCATTTATGCGTTTCGTCGGTAGACCTGATATTAAGGACCAAATTACGGATTTGTCCTCATTTTTGTTTCTTCACGTTTTCAGTTTTTTTTATCCAAAACTATGAAGACAAGCTGTTTTTTAGTGTTTACCAAACTCCTTTTTTAGCTCAATTTTTTTTATACCTACTTTTTATAAAAACACTTTAGTACCAAACCAGTACTAAGAAAGATAAAACAAAACCTTGAATCTGGTAACACAAAAAAAAATGTCCACATTTTATCAACATTAAATTTAGTTAATATCTTGGTAAATTAGAAACTAAGAATTATGTGTGCGAACGCTTGTCTTATTTAAAGTAAATAATCGCAACGGATTTTAAGATCTTTTTTCCTTATATTTTATGCGTAGACGTTATTGTTTTACAAGTGTTATCCATATACTAATAATTTGGTACAACAATAAACTCTGCACTTAATAATAACTTAATACAATAAACTCAACATTTTTTTTGTACGATTTTCGTATAATTCATATAATAATAACTTAGAGTAAACTTGTTCAATATCTCGTCACAATACAAAGTGTGAACTGTATTGTAATAATTGAGTACAATAGAATGGACCAAATCCTCTAAGGGCTTGTTTGGTGGGTTAGATGAGATTGGACATTAGGGATAGAATTGGATTGGTATGGACTTTTAAGACATGACTTATAACTCATGTGTAAGGATAGAATTAGATAACTCGATCTATTGTGGATTTGTAAACCATAATGTCCAGTTATGTCTATCTCATATTTTGACATAACAAAGAACATACTGTACTCAAATCTATTTTAATTGGTCACAATCTATCTCATCCAACCCGCTAAACGGGGTCTAAAGACGTTAAGCACAATGCATAATTTGAATGATGGTCATTGTTTGACTTTACTAGGCACTAGCCATAATGTGTAATTAGAAGGTTGGGCACTCATAAATAAACTCAACCAATACCTAGTACCTGCTACAATGAATGCGATAATATGTGATGCATTTTTCAAACCAGCAAGTGGAAAAACAATGTGCAATTTTCAAAAGAGCAATAAACTAACTTGTAATTGCCACCCACCCACAAAGCATTAAGTGCCAAATTATGAATGGAACTACAATGCTAGTGATCTACCAACTTCACCCTTTCGATCCATGGCAACTTCGTAATTAAAGGCAATCATTGGGGGCAGAGCAAGATCCCGTGTGAAAATAAGGAGGATATCGTTTTCTAATGTGGGATTGTGGGACCCACGCCTCAAAGCCAGGAAGAAGCAACTTTTTTTGACATTTGCAGTTACGCTAATCCCCAATCGCTCTCCCAAATCCCCAACAGCATCCGCCGTATCTTTTCCCCCTCACTGAAAAAATGACACACATTTGATCGTTACATTGACATTGCATGTTAGTAACATAATGATGTACGTGAATTTTTGCCTAAGCACCTTGTTATCGGCGGTGTTTGAAATTTATTTGATACAATTAATATTTTTGTGGAAAATATCAAAAAATTAAAAAAAGATATGGAAAATGATCGGGAAAATTATTAAATTTTGATTAAAATCGATAAATTTCGTCGATATTTCAGACATATCGGTTAACCATTAACAAACTGCCATATGATATTCCTTAAAGCTTCATTTTACACTTATATGTTTTTGAACAAATTTCTATTATTTGTATCAAAGACAACTAATATCGATAACAATATATCTATCAATATTTTTATGAATTTGCATATCGATATTTCCATCAAAACAATACTTTAGAGTTTAAACATTGGGTATCGATGATCCTAAATCAAACGGCTGAGAAGTGGTGGGTTCAAAACGTTAAAATCTCAACTTGATGCATGTTATGCTAAAGAAAGCAACGGTGTGGGTGCGTGGGGATCGGAGTGGGAAAAGCAAATGCTATGAAAAGTTTGTCTTGTGGTTTGGCGGTTACAACTATTACAAAGTTTGGCTTGGATTGGATTCCTTTTTCATATGCGGTATTCGTCGGGCTGCGTCTGCGAGGAGAAGAGAGTATTGTCGGGACACTTGTTCAATATGCAGTTTGAGGGGTTGTGCATGCCAATCAAGTAGCACCACTAAAGCACCATGGACCATTTTCATTTTACCTCAAGTGGGAGGAAGACTCTTATTATAGCTAGACCTATATGCAAATCTAAACTGTAGCGGTATCCTAAGCTAAATGAATGAAAGTTAAAACACGTGACAGTGTATGATTGATTTGAAATATCGTAACAATATTATTTTTCATGTTTGGTATGTTTACATCTAAGTGGAGATCGAAAAAGTTAAATTCATGACAATGCATAATTACTTAAAAGACTGTCACGTCATTTCCAATGTTAGGTAAGTTTATATCCAAGTGGAGACCAAACAAAAAAAAAAATAAAAAAAAAGAGTACCAAACCCGGGCTCAGACAATTTTGAAAGGTTGCTGATTTTTATCTAAGATGTGAGCTTTCTTTTTTTGACATTTTTTTTTTATTACAAAAGTCAACCAAGTAGAAAGAATAGAAATTCTCCCCGGCACATTTTTCTTCAAGAGTGACTTCACAAGTGAAAAACAAAAGTGCGGGTGAGCACGGCTCGTAGGAAGAACTCAAAACACCACTTCTGCATGCTCCAATGCACTGTGATGCTCTTTATTGACCTAAAGTAATTTGACAGATAAATAAAGAGATCTTCCATATCGATGGTCTCGTTACATTCACGGTGAAAAAACTGAAACACTAACATGCATGTAGCTCGATTTGAGTGAACCACGTTAAATTGCAATGTCCGGTTTTTAACCTTACATTGTTTGCAATGTCTGGTTTTCTCATCCAAACACAATGTTAGGGTTTTGAACGCAAATACAATACACCATTTGTTTTTGTTTCATTCAAATTAGTGCATGTAGTTTATTGTCAAGGGTTGCTTGCTTGTAGTAGCAAAATGTGAATTCAAGACTTACACCCACCTGGTGCTGAAGCAATGCATTGTATTATTTGGTGCATTTGGGGGATTTCCATTTTTTACATTATGGAAGATGGGATGTAATTCTAATCTGTCAATGCTCCATAACACATATATTTTGAAACTACGACGTGATAAAATCACAAACAGAATTCAATCACAGAACACCGGAATCTCGAGTAATTTTATTTTTATTTTTTTAAACAGACAATATTATCTATACCAAGGGGAGGGGGGGGGAGAGGGGATGAGCTTAGTCGCATAATGAGCTAGCAATAATGTGATTCAAACTCACATTTGACAATAATCAAATTTGAAACCTCTCAGTTACAAGTGAAAAGGAATACAACTAAACCGTAGTACTAAGTGACAAATCGGGAAGTTACTTAGAAACAATACACGTACACATACGGAGATGGGAATCATAGGACGGAAGAAAGTAGCCATGCCTCATAATGTGACTCCACACCTATGTTACTGTGGTGTGCCAGCAATCAAAATAATGATGGGAGATAAGTCAGACAAATCCAAATGCCTCAAAAAACTGAGTTCATAAAAAAATGGATTTCTCTTTCACGCATCTAATTCAATCACGACTCTTGCCAAAAACCCCATTTCCAACCTGAAGGGGATTAAAATGTTACCCACCCAAGAGTGAGAGATTTACAAGGAAACAGTTTACCAGTAGGACAGAAGCTCCCCATTGACTCAAATAACATGAAAGCTATTTGCCAAAGGGTTTCAAGAAAAACAAGCTCCGAGACCCAGCGCAAAACAGAGCAATGCCTCACGAAGAAAACCCAGGTGGGGGAAGAGGAGGGTTCGGAAGGAAAACCCTAAAGAGACCTTTTTTGCTGTTGTGCAGCTATGACTCAAAACGCTTCCATGGGTATAAAGGGAAGGCAACCTTAAGGGCCGCCCTTAAGAACAAACAAAAAAAAATGCACAATGTAAAAGTTTTCAGAATTTGAATGCAAGTAAAACCTAAGGCTATGTTTGGGTGAGGGATTAGTAAGTCCCAAGCAATTGAGTAGACTACAAAATGTTAGACGAAGGGGATTAGAAAACCCCTCCATGAGCATTGCAAAGGCATGTAGGAGGGATTTGCAAATCACTACTTGGAAGGTGTCATTCGCAAATCCCCCTCACTTGCCTTTGTAATGGTCACGGAAGGCATTCCAAATAACCTCACCTTGTGGTTGCACGATTTACATACTGAGAAGGATAAGTTTACTTGTTAAACGGCATAAATCTAACCTTTTAGCCTATCTGATGGGTGTTCTACTGGTTAACCACCTACTAGAATCCTGCTCCATAGATGGAGAGTGTGTGGGTTCAATTGTACTTGTGTCTAAGGTACATCATGTAAGTTCCCAACTACTTAATTCAATATATCAGAAGATTGAATGCGAACAAATAATTCTGGCCGAAGTTCCACCGTTGAGAATTTGGGATAATGCAAATATCAAATCCTATCGATGTGGAGAACTCTCAGTGTAGGACATACCATTGACAAGTACTCTGATATAAAACATTGGCATCACATACACAAAGGCCACCTATTCTAATGAAGGCCGAATTCTATGTCTAACATGTACGGAACCTTGACTACGGATTTAAGAACCATGCATCAGGTAGCAAATGAAGATATCTGAAGTAATCACCTCCTGTTTATCAAATGTGGTAAAGGGGCGACCCCAGGTCAACAAGGCTCCCAGGGGTTTGAGCCCCTGACCCTTCGGTCACAAAGGAGCAACCTTTCCATTGCACCAAGACTTGCCCTCATGATATCTAATGTAATCACGTAAACAAATCAATTAGATGCAATTAACAAAACGAGTAAAAACAGATGAATTAAATGTGCTTATTCAAACCTAAACCTTCTGTTCTCTATGATGATAAGAACGAAATTTACAAGCAGTTGAAAGAATAAAGAGAACAATCTATAGCAATTCCACTATCATATGTCAGTTCCCTATACAAAATACATATGTAATTGTAGAAAAACTCATACTCACAAATACTCATTGCCACCGATTCGAGTCTTCGAGAACCAACCTCAATCTCTGAGCCAACACATCCAATTCAGCAAGCCGTTGGAGCTGCCACTGCCTCTCGAAGTCCATTGCAGTCTTCCCCTCATTCGAAGAACCCGAACCCGAACCCGAAGCCAAACGAACCGGGTCAGAACAGAGCACACCCTGTTGAACAAGAAGCATCCGAACCTCATTGAGAGACTGATCAAACACGTCCAGAACACTCTTCGCCACCAGCGCAGCAATGGGCCGTGCCAACTCGCTCGTCGTCTTCACCTCATCGCCGCAATCATTTTCGACATCGAGATCATCAGAAACGCTCTGGTTCTTATTCTGATTCTGATTCTCATCCGCCGCCGCCAAATTATCAGACTCTCCGGCGTCGCTCTTTTCTCTGTTACCGAACGGGGAAGTGGACCAGCACTCGGGGCTCCAGAGCTTCCCGGAGAGGTCGTACAGGGCGCGATCGTGAGGAGAGAGCTGGGACTCGCAGAGGCCGCGAGCGAGGCGGGACGAGACGACTCGGAACTTTTTCCGGAGGCGGCGTAGCTTCTCGGAGAGCTGGGATTTGGTGTAGGAGTGAGAGACGGTGGCGGAGAAGCGGGCGTAGAAGAGGGGGAGGTCTTTGGGGAAGGAGAAGCCGCCATGGGAGGCGCAGTCGAGGAGGCCTTGGAGGAAGAGAAGCTCGTCGGGCTCGGTCCAGACTCGGTGGTACTTAAATGGCGGAGTTCTGGCGGTGCTGAGGGTTTGGGCATATGAATCTGGTGGGATTGGGACGAGGACGACGTCGTTGAAGTCACTGAGGAGTTGGGGAGAGAAGAGGTTAGGGTTAGGGTTAATGGGGTCGGGGTTTTTGCGTTTGATGGGGAGCTTGGTAGCGGAGGAGGGTGGAGGGTAGAGGAGTGGGCTGCTGCATTGGGATTGGGAATGGGGAAGAAGGGTAGGGGTAGGGGTAGTGGTGGAGTCCATGGCTAACCTTGGCTCAGGGAATATTTGGGTTTTGGGTGGAAGGTTCAGTCAGTGGCTGACTTGTGGCTTGCTTTTTGTTTGGTTAAATGTTTTAGGATTAAATCTTATAAATATTGAGCTTGATAATATGTATATAAATATAATTTTTTTTTTTTCAAGTAAATCTATCATTCCAATTAATAATGTTCATTGTTCCTTAATAAATAAGTAACCATTTTTTTTCTTTTAAATAAAATTAATAAACCTTACGAAACACAGATTAGATGAATGTACAAGAGAAATGATAACCAGACATTTTTTTAATTTTATTACACATTTCTCTTTATTTCTTACAATTAGATTTGAATCAAACGGAATCAATGAAAAAATTTAGGGTTAAAAGTTTCTCCAAAATCTAATGCAAAACAACACTATGGGACACATGATGATTAATTGAGAATTGGGTACTGATTTCAACACAATCTTTTAACCTTGTGCACCCTCTGTTAATTCTGACAATTAATTTTACTTTAATCGTTGAATTTAACAGCTAAAAAACAAAAAATATGTGGATAAGAAGGGGTGCGTGAAAACCATTTTCCTTTAGAAAAAATAAGTTAGGATAACAAATGGGGCTGTGAAGCTTCATTACTTGATAAACGCTTGAAAGGTTGAAGTCCCATCTGGTTCTCATAGATGTTAATGTGCAGATCAAGTGGAGAGCACGTTGCATGCCATTTTTTTATTTTTTTATTTTTTTTATTTTCATTAGGATAGGATACGGATAGGACTAGCCCCATATCTGTGTGTTTGATAGGATAGCACAGTGGCTTGTCCAGATGGCATTGCTTGCTAAGCACGCTGTTTGGCTATTTACTTTGGACGGCATTAACTAAAACTTCATGTTGCAAAAGATAGTTATTGTTCATTAATGACAATTACTGTTCACTAAGTGGATTAAGCGAGAAGCTTCATGTTACCAAAAGGGAAAACTAAAACTAAAAATAAAAAAAATCGAATATTTATCAAACTGCCTCTAAGGCTTCGTTTGATGCTCAGGAGGATTATAGCTTGGATTGGAAAACTCGCTCTTCATTTAATGAATGTTGAATGAAAATATGGACGTCAACTTGCATATTTTGACCAGGTGAGAGTAGAAGATGAAGAAATCGTAAAAGAAAACTTGTCGTTGCAAAATCCCCACAAAAATGGTAAGATTGAGAGTGACAAATTTTCATCATGACTTGTTCATCTTCTACCTTCACTTGGAGAAAATATGCAAGTTGACATCTGTATTTCTGTTCAACATTCATTGAATGTAGCGGATTTATCCAAGCCAAGCCAATCTTAGACATCTAACGAGCCTTAAGAGTTTTTAGCGTCCTTGGTTTCAGGCGAAACTCCAGTTTGCCTTGGTGCCAGTTGAATGTCTTAATGTTTCCTTGATTGCGGCTTATGTTTGGTTCCTTGGCCGTAAATCCTTGTCTTTATTGGCTACAGCCTTAACTACGTACCCTTATATTGTAAGAAAAATGTCAGTAGAATCTGAATAATGTACATCCATTGTCACAGGAAGACAACAATACCGAGGCGTCTATCCGGCAAACACTTTCGTTGACACTTGAAGCAGTCTATCAACTGGTCTTTTGTTGGCATGGGCTACGGGAATTGCTTTGCACCCAGACTTCTTTGATCTAAAGCCGAGTTTACTGCACATCTATCCTCAGATCCTCCATATGGTAAGAAATTGTTGTCGAGGAAACGTTCACCGATCACTAGTGTTACAATGCAGAAGATGTAAATCCCATAGGCTTGAGTCCATGGACAATTGAATATCAATCTGGCAGGGAGATATTTCCAATTAAGATGGATGGATGCTATAGATGACAGACAGAGGGTCTTATTATGTGACCAGAACATTTGATTCGAGTAATGCTAAACGGTTTTTGGTGAGAGTAATCTTCTCTTCTGTTTCTGCCGCCTTTTCTTGCACTCCACGGACAATATCCTCAGGAGCTTTCTCTACAAACTGCATGTACAATGCTGATATCGTCAGAGGTACATGATACCTGGGAATGCATGAACAGCATGGGAAGGAACTATCCTAAGGAAAGAAAGGACTCAACATAACATGAATGCATCATAATAAGCGAAATTTTCTAATAGTTCCAGCTATCTTAAGCGAACCATTATGTGTAAGGACTTTTTGTTTATATCTAGTTATTCCAATGCATCCGACTAAATGTTTTAGGTTTTATTTAAGTTTGGTTACTTTTTACTAATTATCCCTGTTAGCAAAATCGAAATCCAATCATTTCATTTGATGGATCTTTAGGGAAGAAGACATGTCAAATACTTTCGTCTATCAATACCAACTGCCAAGTGCTTGAACATGATTAACAGAATTCATACTTTAGGAGAGCTGAGCCGAGCTTTAAGTCCATCATATTCCGCCTGCATCTTGGAAAGTCTCTTAGATAGGCGTTGGATTTCGGCAGTAATATCAATCATGTCAGCAAGAGGGAGATATGCCTCTAGTCCTTCGCCAGCTACAAGGTGGACTGATTGATCCGTGTTCCCTGAAGTAAAACACATGACATCCACCAAAATATATGCCTCAACATCAGATCATATAAATCCATAAACATAAATGACAATAAACATGAACATTTCCGGTCCGTCGTCAAATGGGAAATAATCCATGAAGAAACGTGCCTGGAGGAGAATCTGTAAAATGGACGTTTTGCAAATCTAGCCTGGACAGAAGAGCTAAAACCTCCTTTTCTTTCTGCATCAAAATATAAATTCAAATATTTAAGTGAGTTAGTGCAAATGATAATAATGTCCAAACATATATACACATAAATAAACAACTTATCAAAAGAACAGGGACAGCAACTAGTCATCTCAATTTTCACTGAAAAAAATTTGAAATCCGAGCTCAGATGAGACTTCAGACGCATGAAACTCTCGAAGAACATATGCATGATTCAGCAATTAGGACCAGTCCTGACTTCGTTTTGCTATATCAGGGCCACAATTGGCCCAGTGGGATCTTGCACAAAGGTTTCATGGGGCATGGACAGCTTTACGATATGATTTATGATTCAGTCTGTGGCTCTATAGCGTCTACACTTACAGGAAGGTCCAATAATGATCCACCAATTTTCTATACAGTCACAGTTCATTCATATCTTTCTTACTATAAAAGTGCAAAATAATACAGGAACGTACTTCAATAAGCACCTCATCAGCTCTTACATTTTAATCAAGTGCAAAATCATGGCTGGAGAATGAATACGTACCATTATGTATTCAGTGACTTCTTCATTTGCAACTATTGATGCTGATATACGCTTTACAGGCTCAACAGAATATTCTGCTCGAGCATTTCTGATAGCTCTAGTCTAAGAATAACAAAGAAGCAAACTTAATGATTTAATTAATTGACTACAAGAAAAATATAGAAGATACCAGATGTGCCACATGGACTTGGATATGGAGCAATAAACAAGGACGAAGGAATATCTACTCACCAATGCCTGTAAATTCTCAAACTTTTTAATCGAGTTGCTCTGCCTTGGAAGTGAAGTCAGTGGCCATGGAGATACAATAAGAGCTTCTTTCCGAAAGGGGAGTGCCTATATCAAATCAATCATTCATTTTAACAGTGAAACATTATCAGGGATAACAGTACAATGAAGGTGAACAAGCAGTCCACCTTAAACCCTAAGCAAAATTTTCTTATTTTAATAATTAAACCTTAAGAAAATAATAAATACCTTATCGGTAGAGAAGTTGAATTTAACACAGATGGTGAATATAGTGAATCAGTTTACCTGCCAGAGTTCCTCGGTCACAAATGGCATGAAGGGGTGTAGCAATTTAAGTATGTTTTCAAAAACATACAATAGAACTGCCTGTGTGACAGAAGCAACTGAATCACCACCAAAGTGGTAAAGACGAGCTTTGCTGGCCTCTATATACCTGCATAAGTGAAAAAAGACAACAGTTGAAAAAGATGTAATGCATCTGAGTTAGGCAGAGCCGCAGAAGATATTAACAAAAGGAAAAAGAAAACGGTTTCTGTTATGTAGTAAGAAACACACTTTCAATGATAAAAAAGAGCAAAACAATACAGGGAGAAAGTTGTCCAGTCGTCAGCTAGGCTATACAAAACAGAGATGAACCTCATAGTATTACATAACAGCAGACAAAAAGAAAGTTGTTAAAGTAGCACCAACCCCAAACCAAGGGAGAAGTTGTCCAGTCATCTAGCTAGGCTACACAAGGTTGTTCACTGTATCCAATGAACGTTCTTAAAGTAGCAACCAACCCCAAACCAGCAGGCGCGGGCTTGACACGTGGATTGTTCTTGCATAAACTGTTAAAGCTAGAGTATCCAACCAAAAACCAATTGGCGTTGGGTGGAAAGTCTAAAAACATTGTAGATTTCCATGCAAGGCTTAGAATCCACAAAGATTTTATGTCCTCAGTAAACACCTTTGGAGAAGTGTTCTGCCAGTTTGTGTTTAATTTTTCTTAATGAATAGATAGGAACATAAGATGATGCTTTCAATAATGATCTGATGGTAAACATTTGAATGAAAACTCCAAACATACCAATCAGCAAAATCACCCCAAAAGAATTCATACGTCTCTCTTCCAACATCTCCAAAGAAAAATTTGTCATAGCTTGCAGTGACTGTGTCAATAAGCAAATGAAGTTTTGAAATCTGAAAAATGAAGGAAAGTGAGTGGTTAAACAAAGAAGTAAAATCAACAGGCAATACAGAAAATTAACCTGACAATTATCTTACCACCCAAGATTCTGGTAAGGGTAGCTTGTCTAGGAGATCCACTTTATCAAACTGAAAAAGAATTGTCTTGAATTAAGAAGCAGTACAAGTAATACTCATCATCCTATAATGTAAAAACAACCACTGCTAAAGTACAGTAAGATTGAAATTTCTAATATTTAGTGGAGAAATGCAAGATACAATTATGGGCCATGATATGATATAGCACCAGATGAT